GAGAAAGTATTTCATGATTCATGAAGGATGCATGATAATAGAGTTGCTTATTATGAATATTATCCTCTTAATGTATATGCCAACTTCAAAAAACAGGTCCTGGGCTTCCCTGGTGGCGCAGTGGTTGACAGTCCGCCTGCCGATGCAGGGGACACGGGTTCGTGCCCTGGTCCATGAAGATCCCACATGCCGCGGAGCGGCTGGGCCCGTGAGCCGTGGCCGCTGAGCCTGCGCATCCGGAGTCTGTGCTCCGCAACAGGAGAGGCCACAACAGTGAGAGGCCCACATACCGCAAAAAAAATAAATAAATAAAAATAAAATAAAATAAAATAATGAACATACTTTGAAGAAATGCTTTTGGTCAAATATTGTGGAGAAAAAGAAATATATTGAGTAGCACACCAAGATCCCAGGTATTAAAGAGAGGTAAAGTAAACCAAATATCCAAAGGTACAACCAGTTTAAGAAGAGACAGATAGGGACTTCCCTGCTGGTCCAGTAGTTAAGATTGCAAGCTTTCAATGCAGGGGGTGCGATTTCGATCTCTGCTCAGGGAACTAAGATCCCACATGCCACACGGCCAAAAAACAATAATAATAACAAAGTTTAGCTTAAAAAAAAAAAAGATAATTCTTAATTGTCTATATAAAACAGACATACAACCAAGATGGAAAAGACTATTCATAAAATCACTGAAGGAGTACCATTTATGGAGCTAAAAAAATTAACAGCAGACAGACTTTGGAGAATTTGTAAGCCCTGAGTATAAAGATATATTTTCAATTTAATTGGTGATACAGGTTTACTAGGGTTTTTCACATATATGGATATATTCACACACACATACACATACTGCCATGGTTAGAAATGTCCATCACAGCTAAAGGCTACCAAAAAATCTAAGATATTAGAAAATCGCTACTGATGGATTAATTGTTGAAAACAGCTGTATACAGGAAACAACATGTAACATCCCTGAAAAGGGAGACCTTGAAATACATAAGCCAAAAAAGATCATAAAATCATAGAATACTAGGTTAGAAAGAACAATAAAGCCCAACCGTGCTTCTGAAGCATCTGCCGTCTTTGCAGAAGCACAAAGCCATGAAATTGAGATCATAATGGAAAGAAATTCCATGGCACTATTGAAGTGATACTTTAATTTAAAAATTATGGAGAAAAAACCCCAAATATACAATTTTACACAGAACAATAAGTGCTCCAATACTCATCCACTTAGTCAACAAGCTTTTGTTGAAAGCATTTGTGTGCCACAAAATACTTGCTACATTTGGGGAATAAGATGATAACCAGGGCAGAAATGGTTCCTTCAGGGAACATACGTTCAAGAAGTCATTAAGATCTAGGTCGACATGTTTCTCAAAATACAGACCGAACCAAAGTCATCCCCAGGTGCAAGTTCAAAATTCAGATGCTCCATCCCAAGGAATTATGATTCAATAGGTATTGGGTAGAATCCAAGATCTGTTTTTAATAAGCTTTAGTGGAAAGAGTGAGGTTTTGGCTCTGCTATTAGCTATGCAGCTTTGGGCACTAGTCACTTAACTTTGTCTCTAAGATGGGAATAATTCTGTTTAAAAGGTTTATTCTGAAGAATAAAAACATTTTCGAAGTGTTTTGCACAGTACGTGGCACAGGTGTATTCAAATGGCACCGTGAAAGTCAGAAAATCTGGATTCACACTGATCTCAGATGCTTACCAAATATGCAACAGTGGACAAGTCATTGAAACCTCTGTGAGCTTCAGTTTCTATTTATGGAATTTGTGGGTAGTAATATTTTCACTGTTTAGCATAAAGATACTGGAAGAAGAAAAAATAGATATTTTTGGTAAGCTGTAAGAAGTACCACAGAGGTAATTATAGTAGAGGCTACCAGCAGGTTTTTAAAATTTTATTGAAGTATAGTTGATTTACAATGTTTTGTTTAATTTCTGCTGTATAGTAAAGTGACTCAGTTATACATACATTCTTTTCATATTCTTTCCCATTATGGTCTATCACAGGATATTGAATATATAGCTCTCTGTGCTATACAGTAGGACCTTGTTGTTTACCCATTCTATATATAATGGTTTGCAGCTGCTAATCCCAAACTCCCAGTCCTTCCCTCCAACCACCTGCCCTTTAGCAATGACAAGTCTGTTCTCTATGTCTGTCTGTTTTTGTTTCGTAGATATGTTCATTTATGTCATAGTTTAGATTCCACATATAAGTGATTATCATATGGTATTTGTCTTTCTCTTTCTGACTTACTTCACTTGAGACTACCAGCATTGTTAGTCATAGCAAAGTATACTAAAATATAATCCTTAAAAAAGAGGGTAAAGACTTTTGTAGGAAAAATTGAGAAGCAATTTTTTTACCTTATTTTTCCAACAAAATTTACGTATCAAGAGTTTGAGTACCGAATGTGTGCCACCTGGGAAAATGGTAACTCCCCAAATGTAAATCAGGAATATAGACTCCATAGACGTTAATATAAATCTTAACCCCTTTGAGAACTTCACAAAGACAAGTCAGCTACAGTCTCACAAGCCAACAATTGTTGGAAATACTACCCAAAGAATAGAAAACCCTGGATCACCTAGCCCAATACTTAAACATTACTACCCACCAATTAGATAATAGAAATAGAAACACTGGAGCTCACAGAGGTTCAATGACTTGTCTGTTATGTGTTTGGTAAGCATCTGAGTTCAATGTGAAGCCACATTTCCTGACTTCCTAATAGGCCGCAGTCGTTTCCCAGCTGCCATTTTGAACACTCTTCAGTACTTACATCTCTTTCTGTAACAATCCCAGCAAGCGATCATCTAATTCCATTGGTCGGCAATCTACCAGTAGTAAGCGAATCACCTGGAAAGCTTTTAAAAATATAGATTCTGAAATTCTGATTCAGTAAGCCCAGGGCAGAGCTCTGGGACCCCTCTGTGCAAAATGCTTCCCAAGCGATTGTGAAGTGGGCGGGAACCTGGCCGCCAGTGATGCTGCACTCTCCAGTCCACTCTGTATCTGGGCGGTGCAACCAAACTCCAATAGTATTAGGTTGAAATCTTCCCCACTTCAGTTTCCATGTTAATTCTAGTTTTATCCTTGGGGCCACACACAACACAAGCCTCATCTGTCTTTAGGCCCTTCACGTGATCTATATTATGGTATGTTTCAAATCTGTTATCACTAAACTTATCCACATCTTTTCATTTGTAGTTTGTACCCAGAAGAGCACACCATCCAAGTTTAGAAACCAAATGGTGATACTCCTTTATTACAGGAAAAATAGTCTCATTAACACAGCTTAAGTGTGCCTTTTACTAAACGGACAACAACATATTATGCTTACTTCTTTGTAATACCCTTATGAAAAACACTTACTTTGGAATATATTTATTTTGGAGTAATTTTAGGTTTACACAAAAGTGGCACATGTAGAACAAAGAGCCCCCATGCCCCCCTCACCCGGTTTCTTTTCCTAATGTTAACATGTACAATACCACAGTACTGAACCAAAAATGAGTTTGCTTAATTACATCTTTTTACACAAATTACTTAACCCATTTCTTTCCTCCTGAACGCAGACGTTTGGCTTTTCTTTTACTACATGATGCAAGTATAGGCCCTTACATTTCATCTATTAAGATTCAAGGCAAGATTTCATCTTGCAAAACTTTGGCTCAAAGACTCAAGCTTTGGATACCCTATACTTGTTAAGATATTCTGAGTTGGGCTTCCCTGGTGGCGCAGTGGTTAAGAATCCGCCTGCCAATGCAGGGGACACAGGTTCGAGCCCTGGTCTGGGAAGGTCCCACATGCTGCAGAGAGCAACTAAGCCCACGAGCCACAACTACTGAAGCCCATGCACCTAGAGACTGTGCTCCGCAACAAGTGAAGCCACTGCAATGAGAAGCCCGTGCACCGCAACGAAGAGTAGCCCCCGCTTGCCGCAACTAGAGAAAGCCCTCACACAGCAACAAAGACCCAATGCAGCCAAAAATAAATTAATTAAAAAAAAAAAGATATTCTGAGTCAAGGTTCAGTTAGACAGCATCCACTATTGCCACTAGATTCTTGCCACACACACACATCTGGTGAGTAAGACTTCTATACTTTTACCTCGTTTGACAGGCCTAGGCTTGGGATAACATACACCTCCCTCGGGTTGCATTAAGCCACTTCTGATACATACACACCATCAATTAATTACTAATCCAACCAAGTATCTGTACATCCAGTTACTTTGTTACTCCTGCAAAGATATTTCCCTGCCTCAGAAAACTTCAGACACGCTGCATCTCTATATTTTTAATTTGTACTAGTCTAATACACCTTTGTATGTTGTTCTTCAGCTGAGAGATGTACACTATCTTCACACTGGAAGGAATCCATGCACCAAATGACTCTAAAAGTCCTCAGGAAAAAAGGGAACTCTCTTAACATCTACTGGCCACTCACTGAAGCGGTTAATGACACTGTGTGAAAACTGGTGCCCATAGGAAGTCCACAGAGAATTCCTGATGACTCAGAAACTAAAATCAGAAGAAAGAGAAAGGTGGTATTGTAGTATTATCTCCCCGGGAAGAAAAGAATTCAATTTATCCTCATGAAATTAGTTCCTGGCCTTAAATATTATAAAGTTTAGTGAACAGAATGGCACAAGATAGCAATTTACTATTGAAATCCTGATTAAAAAGGATAAATTAGACATGTGGACCCAGAGATAGCTACACTCAGCTATATCAATCACTGCCAGAAGATTTTTCTAAACAGCTTACTTCTCCCTCAAAGGATGTGAATAATTTCCAATTCTGTTTATCTCTCAAAACCAGGCTGTGGAATCTGTTTTTAAATTGCAAAACAGAATTGACAACGCTTTCAAGGAAGGTGGCAAATTCACAGCCATCCTATCACACCAGTGAGCTTCTTAAAATGGGAAAGCCATTAAAAATGTCTTTTAAAAGGCATCAGACTCTTCAAACTTACCTCATAGTAACTCCGAACTGCATTGCAAAACGCTTCATCGGCTACAATCTGGGTTTCCCCATTGAGGAAGGCCTGGAACCGTTCTTTCAGTAACTGCAATTGCTGCTTGTTAAGCTGCAAGGAAAAAGAGGGAATCAGATCAAAAACTAGCCAATCCATGAAACATAATGACTTTTAAAAGTTACATTTGCTACTTGTGTCTAAGATTTCATACCTAGAATTAACTTATGGGTCATTTTAAAAATGTAGGTCACTGCCCCACATACTCTGCGATACCTGATATTGCGATGGAATCCAAATTTCTGCCCCAAACAGAATTCCCGTGATTACTACACTCTAATCCCTCTGTAGAGAGAAGAAAAAAAAAATCTAAAATTCGAATGAGAAACTAACTGGCAGCTGCCCTGAATAGAGAGAGCAGAAGGGACAAGTGCTCTTGGAGGTGAACGGCCAACCATCAGCTTTGGACAAAAGGTGACAGGAAAGACAGAGGGACCCAGAGAAAGAATCCTCTGGAAGAGACATCTGTGGTATGCCAAAAGCCTGGATTCCATGAGTAAACACACCTCAGTGCCTGAGCTGAGATAAAGGAATGATAAGGAGGCGAACAGAGAGGCGATGGGGGGCAGTGAGTGCATCTGGAGGCAGGCTAGGGGAAGGCCGTGACGCAGGGAGTGGAGTGGAAGTTCACAACCAGATTTGTTCACCCTGGGTCTACCCATCACAGTTACGGAGGGTGGGTTAGACACGAACCATGACTTACTAAGCATGTCCTCTAGTTATCGACTACAAGAAGAGGCAGCTACTTCATTTGCAGGGCTCACTACAAAACGAGAAAGAGAAGCTCCTTGTTGAGAAAATTAAGTTCAATACAGCAGCAAAAGAGCATTAAACCAAGCCTGGGACCCTTCTCAGCAGGAGCCCCAGGTGGCTGCACAGGCTCGTCCCCACGAAGCCAGCACCGACTACAGAGGCATCCACTTCACTAGAGGCAGGGTGCGTTAGGTCAAGCAGAAGCATTTTTTTTTAATGCTTAACTGGAGACAGAGCACGGTCTTGCAGATAAAACAACAAATCCTGAGATATAGAAGGAACAGAAGGAGTGATCTCTCCATTTCAGTCATCCTCATCAGACTGTTAAAGAACTCAGCCCAGTTCTGGATTCTACGGAGAGATGTGAAGCATTTGGAAACATGCGGAGGATAAAATGACAAACTGGTATGATTTGGCTTCCAAAAGAAGGCCGATATGAAGTAAGTTTAAAACTGTTCAAAAGGCTTACTAAAATGCCATTCAACTATGAGACAAGCTCTTTCAAAGCACGGCTTTTATTTAGGGGTCTAATAAACAAGACAGCCTGTAAAGAAACTGCTGCTGGTAGTAACAGACTGATAAAGAAGTGTCCTATTGTGCCGCAGTGTAAAAAAAAAAACCCCTTGCCCCGAGCAGTGGAGAGAGGAGACCATTCCATTTCTTTAGTAAGGTTACCTTCTTCATTTTAGGGAAAGCTAAACCAAGCTGAAAAGCAGGAATGTCACCACTATATTACACTCTCCATTTCTATAATATGAAGAGAATGAAAGCAGGAACCTTTCGTGTATGTGTACTAGCAAGGCAAATTAAGCCCATGCCTTTAGCTCTCTAAACATGGTTCACAAAAGGGACCAGATGAAAGTAGGACAGCAACTGCTGAGAATGAAATGGCTGAGAGCAGTCTAGTTGCCAAGCCCTGGGAACCGCCAAGAAGGGCTTCAACTTGCAAACCAACTGCCCAGGTAAAATAATGTAAATGGAAATGTACACAGGGGAATGACAATGACCTGGAGGGGACCTTAATGATCATTTGTCCCAACTCCCTCATTCGATAAATAAAGTAAATATTGTTCAAAAACTACAACCTAGGGATATCTTCCTTCAATTTTCTTCGTTCAGAGGCATTTTATTCTTTAAGAACTAAATCTTTTCAATTTCTAGTTTGCCAGTGTTTAAGTTCAGCCACTGTGGCAGTGAGTTATGTTTTGGTGATTATGGTGTGGGAAATTCAAGCATATGAATCAAGAGAAGGAGACGTGCACAAACCATCTTCTTGGAAACTCTAACAATGGTGATGTAGTTTACAAAACATGCCAGAGGCACGTGGCTAAGCTTAAGGCTTCAATTTTTTTTTTTTTTTTTTTTTTGCGGTCCGCGGGCCTCTCACTGTTGTGGCCTCTCCCGTTGCGGAGCACAGGCTCCGGACGCGCAGACTCAGCGGCCATGGCTCACGGGCCCAGCCGATCCACGGCATGTGGGATCTTCCCGGACCGGGGCACGAACCCGTGTCCCCTGCATCGGCAGGTGGACTCTCAACCACTGCGCCACCAGGGAAGCCCAGGCTTCAACTTTTTTATGAATAAAAATGACTGCAGTTACATTTAAGACATAAAATGACAGCCATATCATAACGATATACAAACAGTCAATAAATGGATACTCCATTAGTACAGAGAAAAGGTCTACAATTCTACATAAAAGAGATCGGAAGGAAAAAAGGCAATTTAGAATCTAGCAGTGGGAAAGCAGTCAGAAAGAATTTCCTAAAAGCTATTGGCATTATCAAAATAAACTATGCTATACATCAACTGATAGAGACCAATGTAACAGACCCATGAAATAGATCCAAATACAACCAGAACTGTACTATAAAATACCTTTATTCCACCTCAAATCAGTAGTAAAAGATGGTTTCTTCAATCAATGATGTTAGAATAACTGGGTAGCCATGGAGAAAAATATTAAGTTGGACCATAACACATGGTTACAGCCCAAATGAATGAAAACTTCTAATGTAAAAAAAGACCAAACCGTAAAGGTATTAGAAGAAATGGGAGAATTCCTTTTAACACGGGCATGAGAAAGATCTTTTTAAGCATGAATCAACATCTACAGGTCATAAATTTAGCTGCCTAAACATTAAAAATAAATTTAGTATTGTAGTAATCATTTTGCAATATATGTGTATCAAATCATCACATTATACTCCTTAAACTTATACAATGTTATGTCAAATACATCCTTTTTTAAATAAATAAATTTAGCATGGCAAAACATACCATAAATAAAATCATTGGAAAAAAAGACTTACCAGAAAAAAAAAAAAAAAAACTTGCAACTCATACCCTAAAGAGCTAGTTTTCAAACATATAGATCCTAGAAATTGACAAGAGTCTAACCCATAAGCCAACAGAAAGACAGGCAACATGGATGTACTCAGAGAAATGACTCAAGCTATGAAAACATGCCTAACTTACTTTACATTTTTCTTTTCCAAATGAAGTCTACCTGAGAGCAGAAGGCTCCTGGGAAGATGGTGGAGCAGGAAGCACCAGAAATCTGTCTCCCAGGGGCTTCCCTGGTGGAGCAGTGGTTGAGAGTCTGCCTGCCAATGCAGGGGACACGGGTTCGAGCCCTGGTCTGGGAGGATCCCACATGCCGCGGAGCAACTGGGCCCGTGAGCCACAATTACTGAGCCTGCGCGTCTGGAGCCTGTGCTCCACAACAAGTGCGGCCACGACAGTGAGAGGCCCGCGCACCGCAATGAAGAGTGGCCCCCTCTTGCTGCAACTAGAGAAAGCCCTCGCACAGAAATGAAGACCCAACACAGTCAAAAGTAAATAAATAAAATTTAAAAAAAAGAAAAAAAGAAATCTGTCTCCCACCCTAGACAACAGCTGCATCCGCAGTATGTATCTGATGTAAATATTCTGGAACTCTGGAGTATACTTAAAGGCTTGCAACATGAAAGGGGAGGCTTGACTGGAAACTGCAGTTAACTCTAATCAATTTCAGCTCTGCACAGTAGCACTTCCCACCCCTCAAGCCCCACATTAGCAAAAAACAACAAAAAAAATGCTGACCACCTAACTTTTCATAAATAAAGGAGTAAATAATACTATGTCCAAACAGTGGTAATACTATTAGCTTTATAAAAAAGTATGACAAAGTTCTCTTATGTACTGATGTGAAAATATCCTCAAAATATCTTGGGGAAGGAAACAGTATAGAACAGTATTTAAAATAAGCCACCACTTCCATAGAAAAGGGACAAAAATCAGAACATGTATTTGCTTCCATATACAGACAAACTATGGAAGAAGGATGGCCTTGGACACTGGACAGATGGAAAATAAGGATGAAAAAGATCTTTCAACCTATATCACTATTCATTTTAAGTTTTAAATCACAGGACCCTTCTTACATACTCAAATTTTAATTTACATTTAAATTAAGCTTTAGGGCTTCCCTGGTGGTACCGTGGTTGAGAGTCCGCCTGCCGATGCAGGGGACATGGGTTCGTGCCCCAGTCTGGGAAGATCCCACATGCAGCGGAGCGGTTGGGTCCGTGAGCCCTGGCTGCTGAGCCTGCGC